ATGATCAACGTACCAGAAGTGGCGTTTTGGAAAGATTCAGGATTATGCAGGTGCAATTCGCGGTGTTGAGGTCCCACAAATGGCGTTTTGGCACGCAGAAGTCAAGTTGATCCGTGGCGTTGAAATCCCGAGAACAATGTCTTGGCATGCTTCAGGATATTCAAACGGCTGTCTTCCGACGAGGCAGTTCCCCAAATGGAAATGAACCGTTAGAGGGGCCTATGAAGAGGGAGCTTGAAGGGAGGATTAATTCCAACGTCGTTGATGACTCTTGGGTTTACACTGGTCCTCCTCCTCCTCCTCGTGCTCCTTCTCCGGCTCCAACTCTCCCTGCTCATTCCCTCCCCCTGGTTACTCCATCTTCAATCCTCTTCGTCCTCTTTCTCCTATTCTTCCTCCTGCTTTTCCTCCTCCTTCTCCGCCTTTTCCTTCCGTCACATGTCTTGCTCCTCCTCCTCTCCTCCGTTTGCAGCTGCTCCTCTTCCTCATTCCTTCTCCTCCTCCTCCTCCTTTTTCTCCTCTGCCCGGGTATTCCCAGAGAGTTCTGTGGGAACATCTGGGCAGCTGTTCTCCACCGCCCTGAAAGGGATCGCGGCCCAACGGGAGCTCCACCTACGCCCCCAGAGAGAAGGTTTGCATAACGTCTTCAGGCCCATTTCGGCACACCGCTCACACGGATCGCGCTCCATAGGGAGCTCCACCGACGGCTCCAACAGGAGGGGTCGCATGGCGTCCCTCCACATATTTCGGCATACCCCTGACGCGGATCGTACCCCGCAAGGATCTCCATCCATGGCACCAGTGGGCGATTTCGCATAGGGTCCCCACGCCCGTTTCGCCGCCGCTACAGGCGGATCGCGATCCACAAGGAGCTCCACCCACGGCCTCAGTGGGCGCGCTCGCGCAGCGGCCACCCTCTTGACGCGGATCGCGCCCCACAGGACGCTCAGCGTGCCTACGCGCGCTAACTCCGTAGCGACCCCCTATCCAGTCTACCCCGCGTCGCGCAGTATTTGAAGAGAGAGCTGCGCCCTGCGCTACACGTAGCTGCATAGGGGCGGGACCTTCGCCAGGCCAAGTGATTTCTCTTTTCTCTTATATGCACACATATATGAACACAGACATTCAGTCGCGCATGCATAAAAATATGCGCACGACAACAAAACCTGGGCAGATCAGGCGGAGCCCCAGGGCCCAGGTTATGGACCAGAGGCCTCTCGCAGATGTGTATTGAGGTTTCTTGGGAAGTCTCTCAGAGGCCCTTTGGGGCATCTTGGGGGTCTCCTAGGGGGTTCCTGGGGGCCTCCTGGGGCCTCGTAGAAGCCTCTTGGGGACCCCATATGAAGCTTCTTGGAAACTCTTTGGAGCCTCTTGGGGCCTCCTGGGGGCATCTTGGGGCAACGGCTCGAAATTTGAATTTGTCCTGGGGTTGTTGGGCCATCTTCGTGGCCTCCTGGGTCGTCTGGGACCCTTCTCGGGCCGTCCTGGAGCTCTCTTGAAGGCCTCCTGGGCCGTGTTGGGAGCCTCTTGGCCGTCGTGGACGTTGTGAAAGCCCAAGAAGCGAATGTGCTCAAAATCTACGTACTCCCGAGGGCCAATCACAGGCTATCTCGGGCGGTCGTAAAACACTCTCGGGCTTTGTGGGACCTGCAGGGGTCGCCTGGGGAGGTCCCCAAGGAGAAGCGGCAACGAAACACAAGGGAAGGGCCGGTCCGCGGCTTTGGGCCTGGGATCTCTTTTATGTGTATATATAGATAAATAGATAAATTGATGAGTAGATAGATAGATAGATAGATAGATAGATAGATAGATAGATAGATAGATAGATAGATCTACGGATATAGATAGATAGATAGGTAGGTAGATAGATAGATAGATAGATAGAGGTGTGTAAATGCTAGCCAATGTGCCCCACCCCCCCAAAAAATGTGCTTCTAGAGATCTATGTTGTGCCATCTACGCGGAGCTATATACGTAATACATGTGGTGCAATCTCTGTGGGGATATACAGGTGGTACAACAAATGCTGTGCGATCTACGTGGTGCGTTTGACCAAACTGCACCGCGTGTGACCACCTCCCACGCTCGTGCAAACATCTCACCCTCCCACCCTCTATTTGGCTGGCAGAACTCACAAGGTCGCAAATCCATTCACAAGCAGTTTCAGCGTGGACCTCGTCCGCAAATTTCATCGAGCTCACTGGCACGCGGACCCTCGTGGCGCGGGCAAACTCAATATTGCGGGAGGCAGCGTGGACACCGGCGTCGCCGAACGACGATGAGGCGGTTGGCAGAACTCAAAGGTCGCAACTACAGTTACAGCGTGGAGCTCCTCCGCTACTTTCATCGAATTCACTGGCACGCGGACCCTCGTCGCGCGGCCAAACGTCCATTTTGCGAGACAGCGCGGACCACGGCGTCGACAAACGACGATGAGAATGATCACGAACCGACGGCAATGATGATGATGACGGTGCCCCGAATGGTATGATTTGACAGGGATGATGCCTCGGGCAAGCGCGCGAGGGCGTTGGAATAAGTCCGACGTGCGCGCGCGAATGCCTCCTTAGAAAGGAATGTTAAAACATTAAGTTCCCTACGAATCCGCAAGAGCACGCGGGATGAAGCACAAAATTGCCATGATTTGGAAGGATTTCGTCTTGCGCGAGCGCATATTGCCCGCATGGTATTATGCCATGAGGATTCGCGCATTCAACTCATCTTAGATCAACGCACGTGCGC